AATATTTATGAGTATTTGATATTATGATGCATTATATTTTTTAAAAGTATTTTTTATTATAAAATATATTAAATTATGATTTTTTATTTAGTGAATCAAAATTATTATAAAAACACTTAAAAAACATTAATTTAAAACTTTCTAGATATAAAAAAATTTAAAAAATAAAAATTATCATAATATCATCAATATCAAACGAACACTTAAGTGTTACATAGATAACATATTCCTACAAGACTGATAAATGCTCTAGAAATTGAAAAGCTTCGCCATAAATCAAAACATTCATTGATTTGCAACGTGTTTCTAAAAATAAATAAAAAAATTCACCTGTACGGACATAGAGGCGTGCACAAAGACACGTGAGATTGGTAGCCAGAGAATTACCACGTGACCTGAGAAACGGTAAATCTTTGGTATTATCCGTTAACATTGACACGTAACAATTGGCAGCTACAGAAAGAGACAGTACGTGGGTAATGTTGTGAGCGAAACTCAATAGAGTTGTGACACGTGTTGGATCATTTCCTTCCCGGTGACTACCAAACAGTATAATGTCGCAACTCAATAGAGTTGTGAGCGAAACTCAATATAACGTGGCAGACCGTTACTTGTACGAAAGAACGGCACGGTACAATTTATTTCAATTAAGGCGAGAAATTGGAGGAGGCCAGAAACGTTTCACTCTTGTTTTCCAATCCAAGGGATATACAGTGATTTTTTTATCAAATGAAGTTGTGATCCTATCATACTTATTTTTATGCTACCACTTTTTTTTTTAAAAAAGAAGTACTATGAAATACTACAGCTTCAAAAATTAATAAAATAAAACAGCTTTTACATATCATAATTTAAAAACATGATATGTATAAGTTATTATTATTTAGAATAGAGACTTATAAAAAAATTATAAATTAGGATGCACATAAAAAATGAAAAAAAAAAGATGTTGGAAATACATTGAAAATTGATTACAATACCACTAATATCATAAAAAGATATCAATAAAATAAATCCAATGATATTTAAAAAATTATTAACAATAATTCTAAAAAATTTACTTGTCATTTTATACAAATGAGTTACCCCATCATATTTGGATGATAATTATAACTACTCAAATAATTATTAATAATTTTTTTTGATATCATTAAATTCATTTATTTTAGTTTTGTTTGATGATATCAATAATATTATAGTATAAGATTGAGTGTGTCTCCATGCTTTTTTTTTTCTTCCTCTCTCTTGTCTCCCATCTTCTAATATGAAACTATTTCATAATTTTTTCTAGATTTAACTATTATGAACAAAGATAAGTTATGCATGTTGTGTTTTTTAGTTATGATATACATAAATTGTGCTATTTTATTATTATTTTTAAAAACATATTATTTAAAAAAAAAATCATGCTGATTCTATTTTAAAAAAATCTATTTTTACCTGCTTCGCTTTTGCAGTGGTGCAGGCTTGTAAAATTCTGTATTGATAGGACAATTATTTTATATTCCTTAAATTTGATCGATGTATACATCATCCCCACGGAAATAAATCTCCTTTCCTGGTTGATTGGCTCATCTTGTTGTCCACTTAACTTTGCGCTTCCCTCCTTTATTCTTTTCTTTTCCTTCTCCATCCATTCGCTCCCTTGACTGGACTGAAAGAGGACAATTTCATCTATTGGCATCTACCATGTCCTTGTTAATTCAATTCATCTACTTATTCTACGAGGTATTTTAAAATATCTACATATTTTTCTCTAAATACAACGAATAATTAAAAGGTTTTGTTATTTATCATGTACTTGTATACCTCTTCAAAGCATGCCCTAGAATCTCATGATCATTTAAGTCTGGGTTAAAACCGACTAGATTTGAACTAGTTTACAGCTAGCATTGCATAATCAGATAAGACTGGTTAAATTAAAATTGTTCTTGATTGTCAAAAAAAAAAAAGAAAAGGAAAGAAGGTACAATGCATGTAAAACAATTATTTAGTAAGTAAGGGTCTAACTCAGTGGTGGGAGGGGCTTGTCCTCTGTCTCCACACATGGGTTTAAGCCTTACTGTGCACGTCTGTCACCCCCGCGGTGTCTTACTTGCTCACTGGGCTTGCAGGATGTTCAGTGAGCCGTGGGGATTAGTCGTGATGCGCGTAAGCTGGCCCGGACACCCCACGTAAATAAAAAAAAATAATTATTTAATGTTATTGTTAAATCAGATTTAACGGATTTATTTGACTTTTTTTTATTTAATTTAAATTTAAATTTAAATTATGTTAAGAGTTTATTTGACACGATTTAATCGACCTGATCTGTTAAAAAACAAGCTGCAAAACTGGTAAAAGAAATTTAAAAATAAAATCGATGAAAAAAATCTTGTCCCAACTTCTTAATCAATCTAGATTTTAAATTAAATTATATAAAAATTATTATAATATAGTTTAATTGACTTAATTAGTTTAAAAATATCTTAACTAATATGATTTAGTTAATTTAATATATTTAAATACAATTTAAATAATTGTTTGAAAAAAAAATACGGGATTAGATTTAGGAAAAAAATGCTAAATTAAAAGAAAAGATAAACGAGGAAATGGTAAAAAACAAAGACGGGGCTGAATTGAAAAACGAAAAAGGTAAAAGGAGGAGCTTCACTGTATATGAATGGCAGAAATATATGTGGATTTGAAGGAGGGAATAATTCGAGGGTGGTGATTTACCTGTGAATCTTTGTTTATGAAAGAGACTGCGGTTGTTAGAAGAGATAATAGTTTGCAACAGAGGAGAACTCATAAATTTGCGAGAGGAGATACTTTTACCAGTATGGAATAAGTGGGTTACTTTTTTTATTTATTTTTTACTGGTGTTTTCGATTGGTCGTGATATTTGGTGGGATACTTTTACCACTATGCAATATTTTTTTTATGGGTTATTTTTTTAAAAAATTACAGGTGTTTTTTATTCTCGTCAATATAAATATTTTATTTTATATTCTATAATTGTCAATAAAGTATTGGTGTAATGATTACGGTATTACTATATTTTTATATAAATATAAATCCAATTTCTAAATACGACTAGCCTGGTTTTTTAAAGAAATATAAAAATATCTAGTTAAAAAAAAATTCACAATTAAAACTATTCATTTATTTATTCATCACTCATGAACATACATTTTTATTTAAAACTGTTATTTTCACTGAAGATCACTAAGATAAACAAAGTAACTTATAAAAAATTAATGATAGCACGTGTGCCATTTTAAAACCGGCACTTTCAATAAGGACCATTATAATATAGTAACATATAAAAAATTAATGATGCCACATCACTCCACTTTTTTCACCTTAATGACTGAACAAGAAAGGAATACAAAAATAATTTTATAACAAAAAACTTATCTTAAAAATAAAATCAATAACAGTAATCACTAGCACAATCTATAAACAATAAAGAGCAATTTATTCACTTTATATGTCCTTTATTCCATGAGAATTTGAGAGTCATTCAATCAAATTATTTGATATAACTCGACCAAAAAAATTATAATTTCAGAACTTTTCAAACAAATGAGCGTCTTAGTTTTCTGGTATTCTACTCTTCTTATATTTTTTTTTCTGAATATATATTCAATTTTCTCATAAATAGTCAACGAAAAGTTGATTGTAATTACATGTTAATCAATAGATAAATCATAATATTTTTTTAAGTTAATAAAATTAAATATATATCAAAGCCAGGTAGAAAATATTTATTTGATATCATGACGGTGTTTACAATTATAGTTTAATTTTTTTATATAAAAAATAGTGTTTACAATTATAATTTAATTTTTTTATAAAAAAATATTTTTTTTCATAGCCAAAATTAAAATAAAGTGTTTTTTAATGGAATTCATATAAAAATATTGTATATATTAACTAATCAAATGCATTTAAAATTATAATCAAAGTAAAATAACAATGTATCCTCCTTTTCCTTTTATTTCTAGATTTCTTTTGATCCCCAAAAAAATTTGTCTATATTTCTAATTCAATCTTTTGTTCTTGGTTATCTAGTTATTCTATTACTTTAGGTTTACATGTAATTACATTGATTTTAGTAAGATGTGTTTTAGATATGTGTGGTTTAAATTAATATAAGATAAAAGGAATTTTGATTATAGTTTTTCTTGCGATAATCCGGGACGAGGTGATATCTATGATATTTCAACTGAAAACACATTTTATTTGACAGTTTATTAAGTGTGAAATACTATTGAATGAGTTATTTTTTATTGGTATTTGAAGCACATAATAGTATGTCAATATAACATTTTACAGTTCAATGAAATACATTTAAAATAATAATTAAAGTAAAATATATTTTCAATCATATTTATCCATACTTCCAAATGAAATCTAACTAATTCAAAAAATGCTTTTTACAATGCTTTTTACACCTGCAAATAACAGAAGAGTTTTAAGTGTTTAGCTTAAAGAAATGAAAAAAAAAAAAACCCGAAAATGCCGTGTAATCATTCATAGAAAAAATAAGAAGCTTGAGATGAATTACACATCACTCTTTGATAATTTATCGCGATAAATTTATCATCTGAGCATCTCAAGTCACTTGTATGAGTTGAGACAGCTATTAAAAAAGATGAGCTCATCAACCCACCGAGAGAAACTCTTCACGTGACAAGTACACGTGTTACACTCCCAGTCGAAGAGAGGCGTTACCACCGACAAGTGGGCCAGCTTGCAGCAACTTGCTGGTAATGTGTCCATTAAAGAGTTCCGCACGTGTTGTGTTACCGGACAAACCAGTAACCAAACTGGATAAACCGGTAACTATCACACCTAGTATTTTGATAATTCTTCGAAAAATTAACGGTCAAGATCTTAGACAACCTAAAAAACAACCACTCCTGCTTTAAATAATAGAAGCATGGCTGGGATTTCTCTCTCTTTTCTCTCTCCAGGAATTTTGGTCTTTTGAAGAGTAGAGAGATTGATTGATTGATCCGTATTGTAATTGCGCTCGTCTTTCGAGGTTGGTCTTAGCTGAATTCTCTGTAGTAAGCTAGTTCTTTTGAAGAGAGTGAAATGGAAAGAGATTTTTTGGGTTTGAGTTCAAAAGAACCATTGACTGTGGTTAAGGAGGAGGTAAACGCTGATGGGTGTAAAGAGTCAGGTATCTTCTTCTTCTTGCCTTAAAAAAAAAGTTTTTTTTCCCATCTTTTGCTTTGGTTTTGTGATTCTAGCATTAAAATGAATTGCCTGTGCGCTTAGTTACATTTAGAATTAGTTGTGATATGAAATCGTGTAGCTTCGCTTTTACTTTGGTGTGGAAAATTTTCTCCTTTTCTCGTACCTTGTTAATTCTGAGTGCATGGCTGGTGCAGCCGCGAGTCTGTGACTGTGATGTTCGAATTGAATGAATGAAAAGAGAGAGTAATTGTCTCATACGGTTGAGAAATTATGAAGTTTTTTTTTTTTAAAAAAATCTTTGCTGAATTTATTTGTTCGATACAGTGTATATATACAACCAAACCAATATATATATGCATATATGCGCGTCGCCATATATGTACTGTTGACGGATTATACCTGTGAGATAATGATTCAATTTGGTATCAGTGCCTGTTTACATCGATATTATAGTTGCTTGTCTTCATATGTTTGACTGTTTATCCCAACAAGCAATTTTGGATTATATACAGAAGGTTGATTTTCCCAGTTTAGCTTTAAAGAGTGTGCCATCTGGAGTCTGATTCAAACATTTTGAGCTTCCTTTTCCCTAATTTGATAGTGACCGAAAGTTGAGTGTTATGTTACTTTCCCGGATTTGTTTTGAATTAAAAGGTTACGCAGTTGCTAATCCTTTTGTTGAAATCTATACGATTTGCTACAGGTCTAGGGATGCAGTGGCCCTTCTCTAACAAGGTCTCCACCCCTCGTCATTCCACGGCTGAAATCCAGGTATGGTATAGTTCCTTCCTTTTCCTTGTGTTTGATAATATGTTTACGTTGAGTAGCTGTTAGGCATCAATGGAAAGTTAGTTAACGAAGCTCCCTGGAATAATCAACTTATCAGCTGGGTATGCTTAAAAATCCTGAAGGAACAAACTTTCACTTCCGTTTGCTATTTAAAATGAGCTGGACGAATATTTCCCTGGGTGCTAATTTAGGCAAATGTTTATCATCAAATCCCATTTTATTTAATATATAAGAGCTAATGTCATTATTCCCCCATGGATTTTTATCATATAGAAATTATTCAATCTCAATAGACAAGGTGGGACTCATTTTTCACTGACTGCTTATCCTGTGCAACACGATGTGCATTCTATGCATCATCCTCATGATGTGAAGATGTTTCCAGTCTCCAATCATGCAATTCCAATTTCTATGGGCAACCATTTCTTCAAGAATCATTATCCAGCAACGGGTCAGAATATGGCTGGGACTACCACGAAGCCACAGTTGCTAGGAGGAATTCCTGTCACAGCTCCACATTCAATTTTTCCAATGGTTGGTTCTGTTGCTGGGTTAACAGACTCAAGGTAAGGCATCGCTTTATTCTTTAAATGAACACTTCCAAATATTTCTTACAATGAACATCAATTGAAACATGTTTATTGGAACAGTGTCAAGGCATCCGGGTCTCCTGCTCAATTGACCATCTTTTATGCTGGCTCAGTCAATGTCTATGATGATATATCCCCTGAGAAGGTTTTTTCTTGGTCTTTCTTTCTTCCGTATAAATGTGTGTGCCGGCTGTTAATTTATTGTCTAATGGGAAATGTTGATCCTAATTCTGGTTTCTTTATGGAATCCTACGCAGGCTCAGGCAATCATGTTCTTGGCTGGAAATGGGTCTTCCATTTCATCTAACTCGGCACAGCCAATAGTGCAAGGCCAGGCATCTAGCTCTAAGCCAGCAGCAGCTGATCTTGGTCCCGTGAACCAACCTATGATGTCCACTCCACCATGCTCTCGTCTCTCAAGCCCATCACATACTGGTGCCCAATCAGGGAGTGGGTCAACTAGTACTGAGGAAATCATAGCAACTAAAACCACAGGAGCTGTGACCACTCATGTTACCAAACCAGAGCATCAAAAGACAGCAAATGTAGTGGGATCTGTTACTACAACCACCATGATGCCATCTGGTATGATCTTTTTTTCCTCTCTTGAAGGTGATGTTCTAACATATATTGTCCCCTTGAGAAACTTTCCAACTAAAGGATTTTTAAATTATGCAGCACATTCATTCAGAACTTGTTACATGGTCTGCAGATTAGGTTTTTGTTTGTCTACGTTTGCAATGTATAATTGATGGCTAACCCCTGTCACTGCAGTCCCTCAGGCTCGAAAAGCATCCTTGGCTCGGTTTTTAGAGAAGCGCAAGGAAAGGTGAGTTCTTATTGAAGGAAGAACTAAAGATGCTTGTTTACACTATCACTTCGACCATGATGCTCAAATCCATTTCATAATTATTAACAATTACACTTTATATGGTGAGCCAAAGCAAGTACCTGTGGAGATGCACTACCATGCGTAATTTAGCTAGGCCTAGAACTCTTGCCTCTTTGGTAGTTATATCTTTAGAGAAGACCACCTTTTCAAAAGGCTGAATCGGGGCCTGGAATTGGAGACATATTATATCTGGTGTTAGACTCCAGAATTTTCAAGCCTGCCTTTTGTTTTGCTTTGGGTATGAGGGGCACATTTACCACCAGTATAGAATCAGTTTTTCAAAAAAAAAAAGGGTGGAAAGTATAAAAATATGATGCTACTACCTTTGCTATGTTCCTGGAAAAATTGTATTTCAATGTAGTGATACTATGGATGCAACGATTAGCTCAACTAAATCGTCCGGCTCCTGAATTGATACCTTTTCTGTGAATGTAGGGTGATGAATGCGGCACCATACAACCTCAATAAGAAATCTCCACATTTTACCAACCCTGAACCCTATTAAGCAAGTTATCTGCAATCTCTGCAGCCTGAACTGGTTGTTCTTTTAGCAAGAAAAGGGAGTGGACCACTATGCATGAAGCCAGAGCAGAAGGGAATAATTATTGAGATTTTGTGTAGCAAGTTAAAGGTGTCAGTAGTGTTTTCTTTTGTAGAATGATTGTAATCACGACTCTGTTTGATCGTCAAACCTAACTCTTATTCTATTCTATTCTACTATACACTAGAGGTGTACAACTCAGCTGCTTTACTATTCATATGCTTTGCTATTCATGTAAACGAAGAAGCAACTTGTATTTTTTTTATCTCTCTTTTTTCTTTCATTTTTATTGATTTCTATAATTTTTTTTGTTGGTTTGTGTATGATTTTGTGAGTGGTTTTTTCCTTGTAACCAAGTAAAAAATAGTTTTAAAAAATAAAGTTAGCAAATTTAATAGAATTTTCAGCTCAAGTTTTTAATTTAACTGGTTAAGCAGTGAAATCTAGATTAGTTTTATATATTATTATTTTAATATAAAAAAAATACCATGTTATTTACATGCTTGAAGTGTTTTGGAACTTGCTAAATTCATTAAATATTAAAGATATGATATAATTTGAAGATTGATTTAAATAAAAATTGAGTTGTGAGGTTTTAATATTAACTTGTTAGTTTAAGTTTAATAATAATATTAAATAAAATTTTATTACTTATTAATTTTTTTTATGTTCACAACATTTTTTTATCAGAACTATAAACAAATAGAATACATAACTAGTGTAGGGTTTTCCTCCTTTGCCTTTTTTTCCCCATTACCTTGTTAATGCTATTGGATTCTTTAAATGTAAGATTAAAATTTATATTTCTATTACCAAGATTTTACACAGCATTTCAGTTATGACTATGCAACTCTCATTTTGCTTTTGTTTTTCTTTAGGCTTAAGCTTCTTTATAATAGTTTTTTTTTAAAAAATACTTTTCAACTAAAAAATTATTGGTTTTTGTTTTTGCTTAACCTATCAAATGTCTAGACTAGAAGAATTATTAATTTCTTTTACTAACTTAACCTATTAAACACACATTCATCTAAATTATAAAAAGTACATTAGCTGAGTACAGGTTTTATGTCAAATCAAGTTACGAGTTGCTTGATCAGTTCCATTGACTTAAAAATATGTTTGTTTTTAAAATAGTTTTTATATTGTAGCTTTAAAAAGTAAATTTAAAAAAATATACTTAAGTATAGTTAATTGAATTTAAATATATATTTAAGAAAAATTATGGTATAAAATATTTAGTAGTTATATTTGAAAGTATGGTTATAGTTGCTTTTAAAGTGTTTTTTATTTAAAAAATATATAAAAATATTTTTTTATTTTTAAAAAATTATTTTTAATATATCCGAAAACACAAAAAAATAATATTAATTTGAAGTAAAGAAAAAATAAATTTTTTTTTTAAAATTAATTTTGAAACGCAAAAACAAATAGAATTTTACAAAACTCAGTTAAAAAAATATATAAAAACTGTTTCATAAAAACTGTATTTTAAACTGAATATTTTAATGAGTTCCATATCATAAAATACAATTTGGTTTGTTGTCAAACACTTTAATGCATCCAAGTAAAATTAGAAAAGATAAGATTTAAGAGTGATGTTGTATTAGATTGTCATTCTAATTTTTTTAAATATTATTTAAATTTTTAATTTAAAAAAAATTAAAATGACAATCTAAATGCAACATCACTCTTAAATCTTACCTTTTCTAATATATATATATAAAATAAGGTGGAACAGTAAAGGTTTTTTAAAAGTTACTTGGAAGGGAAGAGTTAGAATGATAATGGTTATTACAGTTTTAAAAAATATTTTTAATTGTGATTTAAAAAAATAAGTTAAAAAAGGTAGGTTTGATTAAAAATAGTATGAGATGAATTATTGATTTCAAGATAAATAAAAAATAAATTATTTTATCTTCCACAAAATTAATATTTAAAAAGCAGTTATATGTGATTTCTAATAAAAAAAAAAATTGTTTAACAAACTAAATAATTCTTTTTATTAAATAAAAATAAAAATTATCACAATAATACTAAATGTATATAAAATAACCTTCGAATTTTTTTTGAAGAGCCTGATTATTTTTTATTTAAAAAACATTTTAAAAAAATTTGAAGTTTTGTTTTTAATTTTTGCTTTAATATAATTTTTTTATAATTTTAAATTATTTTGGTATATTAGCATCTAAAATAATTTTTTTTAAAATAAAAAGTATTATTATTATATATTTTATAATAAATATCAATTTAAAAAACAAGCATATTACAGTAACGTCATGCTATTGAATTCATATTAACATGGAAGCATGATCGAACACATTTTACACATGAAGCAATAGCTACAAGTCTCCAACGACAAAAGCTAGCTAACAGTCTAATTGGTCCACGCCAAAGTTAAAAGTCACGGCCATGTCAGACGGTGATTGGGTGACATTTCCTCTCGTAGTTTGCGTCGGATAGAAGTTCTGTGAAAGATATGATTTAACTTCATATCTTGAAAAAAAAAAAAAAACAGCCTCACCTCTTATAAATCAAAGATTGAGGACTCAATATTCATGGAGACATAATTCACGCGCTCAGACAGGGGATCCTTGATGATAAATGAAAATTAACGAGAGTGGGCAGAGATAGAAAGAACAGTTAATGCAAAGTGGCAGACAAAATACAAATGTGGAGAGCTGAGAGATCTGGAATCGATTGGTTTTGTCGTCATGCGGACACATAATTCACGTGCTCATACAGGGGATCATAAGTGGCTGTCCTTTCTGGAATTTGAATGTTTCTGCTCTATTCGGTTGTTGGATTTGAATTTTCTTTTCAAGCATCGATGCGTATATGGATAGATTCGTGGCTTTTTATTTGCATGCACAGCACTCCATTTGAGAAGCAATATCATGTTCAGAAAAACTCTATATATTAAATTGGAATTAAAATTTAAAATGCATCTGCGAATTTAGCTATATATATATATATATAATTTTTTTTTCCAAGCAAAGCCACAAACCCTTCCCTCATTTTTTCGGAAAACCTGGACAGCATTCAAAATAAACACTTGAACAAACTCATTAGCTTTTAATCTAAACATCAAAACCTGAAGACTCAAAACTGATCATCTGAAGCGTCAACCTATTCGTCCTCCTCCTCTACCGCTGCCGCCACTTACCACATCAGAAGCTCCCATCTTTCTAGAACCATCGTCCATCAATTCAGGTATTATCGGTCCCAGATCTTCAAGAATCCCAGTATTACCCTCCTCAACATCAAAATTCGCCTTCGTACTCTAGCCGCTGCCAATCCTGGAATCCCACTCCTCCCTGAATCCAACTCCTCCCTGAATCCAACTCCTACACGGTAATACCCCCAATAAAACCCTGGCCTCAACGCCTCTATCCAAAACGCCTAATCTCCAGGATCCACACACCAAGAAAACCTGGACCTCGCCCTCCAAATCTTCAACGCGCAAGGAAACATTTACGCGAATCAAAAGAATTCAACACGGACCTTCTATGAGATTATTGAATGTTTTTGTACGTGATAAAAAGTACGATGCAGGGGGTTTCTGTGCTGAACAGTAAGGCTAGATATGGGGTTTTGCCTTATGAAGTTAATTGTAGTATTTTGATTAAGGCCCTTGATCAGGGAAAAAAATAGATCCAAAGGTGATGTTTTATATAATTATTTTTAATTAAAAATGTATTAAAATATTTTTTTTAGCATTTCTATAATTTCTTAACATCAAGTAATCGAAATATTTAAAATAATATTAATTTAATAACTTAAATGGATTTGTTCCGCGGCGGGGCGATTTGGTTAATGCTGACAAGATTTTTAGTTTATTGCAACAGTCGAAAGCAGGTTTATGGTTTTCATTTTCTTTTTCCATTTTTTTCCCCTTCCTTTGAGACACCCTTAAGCTTGTTGATTAAAATTTGACACCTCCAAAATTTTTTAATTCAAGTCAACACTCCTTTCGCGCGCGATGATCAAGTTCCCACTGCTTCCCGATATTTATAATCATAAGGTAACAACTGGTTGGAACAATTCCGTCATCACCTCTTGACCTTCAGCAACCTTGGATGCAATTGGCGCGGCAGCTATTCACAGCATCTGCTCTACAGCTCTTCATGGATAATGCTCCTTTTATCGTTATGGATGCTCGTGGATGCTTTCCTGCACCAAATCAGTGGAGCAGCACCCTTAAAACTGGAATGTCTTTGCCATCACACTCAGGGTTGGAAGCAGTTGAGAGTACCTTGTGATTCTCATCATTACTCTTTTACATATCTTATTCTCAAGGCAACACAAAGCAGTAACATCTGCACTACAAAGAGCCACAGAGATATAAAGCTTGTTCAATTCTTTAACGATCTTTGTTGGCATTGCCATCTCATGATCGGCTAGTGAAGAATGCTGAAACCCAAAGGTCATGGAGGATTCTGGACCAACTTTGGATGAGTGGCAGCATATATAGAAGAATTCTTATCAGGTTTCAAGTGTGAAAGAAGATGTTGCAAATCTGGACGTAGACTTTCTGCTGCCCTCCCACAAAGGGCTAGAACCTCTGCTTTAGGCTTGCTGTTAGGCTGGACAGGACCTCCCTGCCCTTCATAATGGACAACATGATGGCTGACGTACACGAGTTTTGTCAATGTAGGTTCTTCGAATATATGGAATTTCAAATCATATAAATGGAAGTTCCAAATAAGGAATACTCACAGAAAGTCGATGAGATCTGCAATTTCTGATGCTTCAACAGCAGTTGATGTCGGTGAATTCCTCCCAAAAACATCGACCATTGTATTTAAAAGCAATGAGAGGGTCTGAAATGATGGTCATGAAAAATCAAACATAAATTCAAACCAATCAGAAAGTATTCAGAAGTCATTGTTCTCATTGTGAAACACAGGTTTCTAAAAAACGTTAATTGACTTCCCAGGACAACGAAAATGGTTTCAAAAGGCAATTTTCTCATGGTCAAATTCAATAGTTCTTGCCTCTTTTTTTTTTTTTTTTGTTCCTCTCTGTAAGTGAAAAAAGAATATTTACAGTATGTCCACTTGTGAGATAAATGAAACAAACAAAAGTTTCTCTAACCTCAAACATCAAATAGAAAATAAAACGGAAAATTGCACGGTGCCTAAAGTGATAATGTCATTAGAAGCAGAAATCTTTCCCTTTTAGTTATAAATGGGTTTTCTTTCCCTTGGGCACATTGAGTTTGACAGATTCAGGTGACAACCATTGCATTTTTTTATCATCCCCCTCCGTGATATAATGAAATCTTATCTTTATCTCTAGATGCCAGAACTAAGACAAAATCACATAGATTCCATTGTTTTTGTGCGTGAACATTACCTTTCTAAATTGGAGCTTCACTATCATACCTATCTCTACTAAATGAACTGCTTGCTTTGTAGAGAGAGCTTCACTGTTTATATAAACAGTGAAGGTTTTTGTTTTTTAAAAAATCAATTTAGCCTCCTCTTTTTCTTTCAGTTTCAATTTCATCCTCAGACTTTATTTTTATAATTGTCTGGGTTACTGCATAAACCCAATTTAGGCATGGAGATGGGTTGAGAGTTTTTTTCCCTGTCAATTTCATACTTGCACGTTTTTTTACCGGTAACCAGGTTCCCTTTGAATCAACGAAGTCAATTAAGTTATATTAGATCAATTCTCACACTATTTAATTTTAAACCCAGACTATGCAAGAAGTTGAGTCGAAAGGTTCTTTTTCCGGTCAATTTCATCTCTTCCCCCCCCCCCCCCCAAGTGCAGCCTCAATCATTTTTTAATTGTTAGCCATGCTGCCTTTAGACCGGCTAAATCAGCTGAAACTCACACTGTTTAATTTAAACCCGAACCAGGCGAGGAGTTGGGTTGAGAGGTTTCGAGGTTGACTCGCTGCGTCGGGTTCAGTAACAATGCCAAATTGTTCTCTTTAGCTAGGACATTTTTTGTTAGTCCAAATTTTTTTTTATTCGACCTACAACATAGCACGGACCTATAAACTAGTTGCTCTATATTTTAATGGGCTAAGAATTTTATACATGTTTACCTTCGGCAGTCATAAATATCGACAGTGTCTTGTTCTTTACACAACAATTAACAGCAACAACCACTCTTATCTAGACCAGACCAGATCAGATAGAAGTATATTAGTATGAAAGTAAATGATGCACCTAATACACTAGAGCCTGTTATTAAATTAGGGTTTGGTGTTTTCAGAAAACTTAGAGCAGTACGTAATGGTTGTTACACATAGAAAGTCATCTTCCTAACCAATTTCCCCCCTCATTTCTCCTTAGTTCATCGCCTGTTGACAACCATTAATCAGCATCTTCTACTCACTTCCATCTGATTCAGATTTACATAATCACCTTCTAATTTCTATCTAAAAACTTAAGACGTGATTTGCAAAATTATGAGAATAAAAAGGACTGGTCAAGGCTTATCAGTCCAATCCCTCAGCTACCATCAAGCTATCCTCAGCTACCCTCTATTCTTTTCTTTCTTTCTTCTTTTCTGTTGAATTTATCTTGTCACTTCACAGGGAAAGTTTAATCAACAAATTCAAGATGCACCTCAATTTTATTCTATATCTATGCAGTTATCGAAATATAGTTCCCATTATCAACTTGTCAGCAATGGAGTAGCTATTTTTTAAAACATACAGTAAAAAAAAACCTCCTTGGAAATCCAAGCCTCAATAAATTAGTTACTCAAACACGTGTAGATTTCTTGGTTTGGAGTTTAATGTTCTAAGTCATAGGTGATTTTTGTAAGCAGGGCAGAATTATAAGTTCTGCATCTTTCCATGAAAGATATTTGAAATTTGATTCAGCAGAAGGTCCTGGCCTTACTTAGGAAGTTGCTGTTTTAATCTTTAATGGTCTATATTCCTATTTATTGCTTACCTAGTCATGTTAAGACTCGTTATGCATATATCTTATTATTCCTCCTCCTTTTTTGATAAAGAAATCATATCAATAGACTGAAAAAAACTACAGAATCATGTTGTTTACCTTGGAGCTGAAGTACGCAATAAAAATGTGTTTTAAGGTTATTTTGATGTCTAGGAACCAAGAGGTCTTCTTCTACTCATGTTCTTCTATTATTCCCTAACTATCATCACTTCTAGCTTGAAGTTCGCTGCTACAATCCCTGCGTTACTGTTAACAGTCTAATTTCCATCCTATTTCATCTACAAAAATCCCATACAAACCTAATTCAACAAAAACCAACCCTAGCTCACACAAATCTTTGGTGGAAATTAATCCTAAGTTCTCAGAATGCATTATGACATTACTGATAAGATATGGAACCGAAAAAATTAAGCTCCAGCATTTTTCAGCTTATTGCCTAGTTACAAATTTTGTGGATTTAACAACTCAAGAAATGCATGGTACAACCATTCAAGCATGACTGGACAAGTTCATCACAGACTAAACCAGACAAAATGAATTGTCTGGGGCATGCCATATTTGCAATCACACCTTGCAAACATTTAAGAGATAAAAACTAACGAGTAGCCTTTTATACCTTATTGAAGAGCGCATGAGAGTTAGCAAGTCTTGGGAGCAATGGACCCATTATACGGAATGCTATCCTCAACATTGCAACTGATGTTATTGGCCTGAGATGTTTAATGATAACATGTGTTCCTTCTAGCCATTCCTGTGGGAGGTTGCTAAAGAAAGAATGCAGCAGGGCAATTATGTTACCTGGCGATACAATATTTATAACACAGAATCAGAGCACAAGACACAAGTACTTGATGTATAAAACATATAGCAGGCAATGATGACAGATTTAGATGAAAGAATGCATGCCTTCCAGTTCCAACATCTAAGAAATACAGGTGTGATTTTTGAAATAAGAAAGTACTAATTTTGAAGTCACATGATACGACTGGCATATATCTGGGATACTCGCATTTAATGATAACAATCATAATACATGATTGGGAATTAAATGCTAGCATAAGACGAGCTCATAACAGGGAAATGACTGCTAAAGATATGAAAACATTTGCTAAGAAAGCTAAGATTTAAAGTGGCAAGTACAAGAAGAAAACTTTTAACTTTGGACCTTAATAACAGCAATGAAATACAGATTGCATTCCTCTAGCCTGTGTTTCCTTACCAACCCACCATAGGCATAATGTCAACAACATTCAAGGGTCCTACAAACAACAACAACAACAAAGCCTTAACCCCAAACTAATTGGGATAGCTATATGGTTCTTTCAGTACCATTCAGCTAAATCATAAATCAAATGTGCCTCCGCATCAGGAGTTTAGATCTCTCAGCATCACTTCCATCCCATTATCTTAAACCTTCCTCTTCCTCTTTTCCTTCCTTTTACAGTCCCTAATAACTCCTCTGAATTGGGACCTTTGGCATCCTACATTGGGCATGACCAAACCATCTTAGTCCACCCTTCTCATTTTATCTCCAATATGTGGCTGCATGTTCATTTCCAATCTTGTCCATTCTTGTCTCACAGCTCTCAAATCTCTACCACGCTCATCTAAGGCTACTCTGTTGCTTTTATTTCCAACATTCATTTCCATACAGCATGGCTAGCTTCACCACTGTTCTATAGAACTTTACCTTTCACTTTAGAAGGTATATTATGCTGGCATAACACACCCTTAAGAAGACTCCACTCCAACCTCCTTGCTTTTATTCCATGAGTTACATCCTCATTGACTTCTCTGAATGGAGGATACAACCCATATACCTAAACTGATCATATTTCAATTCCATCCAATCTAACATCTCCTTCATTCCTTTTACAAGAGCAAAACCTGCAGTGCATATGTTTCATCCTACTTCTACTTCACTAAGAACCTTGACTTTCAAGAGTTTTCCTCCATAACTCCATCTTTTGGTTGACTCCTACACTCTATCAATTCACAACATTGTCGACAAAGCACACACCATGGTACATCAGCTTGTATGTGACTGATTAGCTCATCCATGACGAGGGGAAGTATGCACAACCCCTCCTCTTTTGTATCCACTCTCATACTTTCCTCACTTCCTTTGCTCCTTCCTTCTCTCCTCCTTATTTCCTCTGTTTCTATAATCATGTCCTCCATCACGAGGACTCTTGAGGGTATGGTCTACAACCTTGGATTCATTTGGGACCTCTACTTCCACTCTCTTAACACGCCCTGTCATCTTCCCCCACATGGTAGCAGTATTGGCTTCTAGGTTCTACTAAACGGATCAAAGCATAAACTAAACTATCACCAAACTCGAGATGCAATTACGGTATTGTCTCCAAGATGGTATGCAAATGTATCTCATTGAGAGTTGTTGATATAACATGACTTAGTCTGCAGAATTAACAAGATGGCTTGCTTTAGAGTCATCAGCAAAAGTCAGCCATGGTCATCAATCCTTTCTAATCATACAGGTTTTGCAAGGTTAAAAGATAGATGGGGCTCAGGTTCACAGAATTTAGGAATGTCCTGAATTCAACAACATTTTAATTAAATAATTAGCATAAATATGAAAATTTGGGCACCTGAGCATGTTGAGAATAACAAGAGAAAAGGATGAACAGGACTAGAGGAAAAATTAAATAGCATACCAATTGCTGTAACTTAATTGTGAAAAATTGGGCATCTAGGAATGTTGAGAATAACAAGAGAAAATGATGAACAGGACTAGAGGAGAAATTAAATAGCATACCAATTGCTGTTGAGGTGTTGTCTTGAGCAGCCCATGTTGGATCCAACAATGCATAGCCAACAGCAGAGTCTAGTTCCCCAAGTGACCTTTTGTTATCAGTAAGCCACCAACACTCTTTTATTATGCGCGATGCCTCCATATAAAGTTGCACGTGAAAATCAGGAGGGAGCTGAGCTAGTAAGAGACCGCAAGCTTGGATCAACAAGCAAGAAAGTTGTTGGCAAGTATAACCACTTCGTAAAACAAAATTTGAAGTATTGATTCCTGAAACTGAAGGGGTTGATCTGCTTCCACCCAGTGAATCAGTACTTCCCCCAGAAGGCGATGTTGGCAAAACTGATCCTTGTCCAACACAATTTGGAGCTCCATTGCTGGATTGAATTAGATTTGGTTGTATATTAACAACAATCTGCACTAGAGAGGGGATAATTTGGGATGCAGCTACTGGAAGTGAGAGCAATTCTATGACAGCAGTTTCTAGAACCAGTTGAGTATGAGTTCCAGGATCCTGGATTTGATAGAACGCCTTCTGACCCTCAGAAGCATTCGTTGGCCCAGACTGAGAGGCTGCTGATGTCTTGGTATGTGGATTGCGCCCTGAATTATTTGAAGCATCTCCAACTGTTCCATACTTAGAGTTGGTATTTAGTGGGGGTATCACATTATTCACAAGCCCTAACAAAAGAGTTGCAAAATACTCTGGGGGTGGGCAGATGACAGGGTTTGGTGAGCTAATGTGCTGTGGGAATGACTCGGAAAATGGGATCTGTGACAAGTTTATAATCAAAAAAGAAACATACAGAATAAGGAAAACAGCATTCCAAAGACTTGAAACAAGGAAACAAAGAAGAAAGAAAATAATAACAGGAAGGGAAGAGAAGCTATAAATACCTTACTAAGATCAAGTACTTTCAGTATCCGCACAACAAGCTTTCCAGGAAGATGACCATAGAAGTAGGCAAGTATATCACGAACAAATGTGAATCTTAAGGGGTGATATTCTAAAAGTGAAGAATACATGGCCAGAACTCTGTCTGCTGGATCTACAGCATCATTCTCAAGAAGTCTATAAACAATTAATGGGATGACTGGAAGCAAGCGTGCCGCAATGTCATCGAAAAATGTGGGATACCTGCAGAGCTTATAGCAAACAATGCTAAGGAAGCTGCAATTCTTGTATTCCGATGAAATTTCAGCATTGCATTATTTTTGTCACCTATACCCTTTAACCCAAAACATAATCAAGATTGAACTATCCTTTTATTTTTCTTTCTTATACCCTGTATCCAATACATATCGTGCTGTATCAGGTGCATATCCATATCTAAAACAGCTTGATGCATTTATGGGAAGCATTTTGGAGTATCTATGCTTCCTAAATTACATCAATCAATTACCAATGCTCTAAATTATCACGAGTCTTGTAATTTCATATAACAGAATAAAATTCCATGTAGAAACATATAATCTAGAAGTCTTTACCTGTCCTTCCATGATAGATGATTTCCAAGTGCCTTAGCCAATTCAAGACGCTTGAACAGTCCTGAGAGAATCCAATGATCAGGACGCACACGATTCATACAAAATAGTTTCACTCTTGATTGAAGTTCCTGCCTATCAAGCAAGCTAATCTGAAACATGCATTATGATGCATTTCAGTGTCAGTGCAAGAACAATAAACATCGAAACTATGTTTGAACATGCATGATATCTCAACCCATACATAGATTAAATCAAACAAACTCCCACCAAATTGCATGGTTATGCACAAGAAGTTATGTTTAAGTGCCAAAAGTTGCCTCCAAGGAAACTGTATCACTGAAGACACAGCAACCTTATCATATTATAACAAGTGCCAAGCTAATTGCACAACAGGTCTTTGGCTTTAAAATAAACACTCTTGAAAGTTTTTTCCTTACCATAGCACACAAAATTGAGCAAGTCTCGTTCTTCTCTTATATACTACTTCTAAGTTTATGTAACTGGCTGCTGGTTTGCATAAAAAGCAGAATAAAAGCTGTCAGAGCACCAGTTGGATAGATAACTCTGCCATTAGAATCCTCTTAACGGATTCACTGTCTCCATATACCAAGATCGTTCTCATAGTGCAAATCCTCAACTTGGAGCCTTAAAACCTTAAGGCAGTCGCTGACTAGAAAATCATGTTTGCTTTTTAAAAAGTCTTCAATCTTGCACCTCCAAATCTGTCCTGAGACTTTCCCCTCTGACCCAAACCACAAAATCATAATTGCCTCAAGTCTTATTTCCCAGACAGTAATCAGATTCTCAGTTGATTAAAGCAACAGTAATTGCTATACTAATCATCCTTCAAACACTACAGCGATTATGTCATGTTTGATGGTGCACGCGCACACACAAAAGAAAAGGATTAAGAAATGTGCATATACAAGATCAAATTGTGCAGAAAAACATACCACAATACGCAAAGCATGGGGATCATCATCACGGTCAGTAAGAGCCAGAAGCAAGATATCCAACGGCAGCAACTCATGAGTCCAAATGAAAAGGGCAAGGTTTGCACAAGTTTTCAATAAAAGGTCCTAGGAAAAGAAAGGGAACAAACAGACACTAAATGAACTAGCACAACAAATAAGACTGTTAGTGCATATAATTAGCAAGAATAACCGGGGCAGAAGATGCAAACCTGTAAGGTATGCCCAATCTGAAGTTCCACATGAATGTGATGAAGTAGAACATCCACCATTGTGTATATATTGGCTGTCACTTCTTCAGGGGAAAATTCTCTCAAAACACGTGCCTGAACTCCATCCACCAACTCATAATTAGTCAGGGGTCTTTTAAAAGAAATCACAGAAAGATAAAGCTGTCAAGAAATGATGATTTCTATAGGAACAATCGCTTGTGCTTATGATGTTTTCCCAACAAACAGATTAGAAGAATGTATTCAATACCAGATTTCCACTATTGATGTTTTCAGGGTGTTCCTGCATCAGTATCCATGTGCCAGCACATAGATATTGTCGGTGTTGGGAGAAACTATGATTGATATATGTCATCACATAACTGGGATCAGCTGATAGTGAGATCAGCTGGGTACATTGGTTAATCACTGTTGCTTCTGCCTGCAAAAACACTGGGCATTTTAACACTGATTGAATTGCCAAGCAATCTGAACAGCAGGCATGGAAATTTTCAAATCTAAAATCATTTTACAGGGTTAAACTCTCCGATTAAGAGTAATACAAACTTGCAAGTTAAAACCTTGCATTTCTAACTTGAAGCTCTGGTGTTCTCCTTCGAAGGAAGGTGCAGACTTAAGGGAAAAGGGAGGTTACTCGAGTATTCCCTGTCCAAAGCCCAATAGGCCCTCCCATGGACCCCAGAAAAGAAGATGACGATGAAAAATAAAAACAAAAACAAATCATTTCCTTTCCCTTTATTTCATAAAAAGATTAATGATAGAATCATATTAGCCTTTATGTGAATCTTATGTACTGTTCTATTGGATTGTCAACCCTAAAGGAAAAGTACACGTGCAAAGAAACTTTAATTGAAATAGTCTCTTTTTATTGCTTTAATGGTACAGGACTGGCTAAAACATAAGTAAAAAGAATCCCAATTAAACAAGATAAATCTTCATCCAATAAAGAAAACAAAAATAATTCCCAAACCAATAAGGCTTCTTAATGGTTTAAAGAAAACCTCAATGATACTAAATTGAAACAGGATAGACTAAATTCATAATTGAATATCTGCTAAATCTGACCAAATCTGAAAACCACAAAAATACCCATGAATATCATGCTACATTTGTCTCCTTTGAATGAAATCCTTAAATCAAGTTAACTAAACCAGACTGCTAAGGTGCTTCTTTAAAATATAATGCCTATTTATGCAAGGATCCATTCTCAAATCAAGTCAACTTTGCCGATATGCTTCCCTGATCCATTATTAGAATGAAAATGATAAAATAAACTGCACATAGCAAATTACAACCCCCTCCTAAATCTACCCAGATGTCAGATTTCTTTTAGCACAATGAGGAACCTTGATCCATTTTCAAGTCTTGAGATGCACATGGATAGCCCTCCATTCACATGTACCAGGCAAATCTTAGACTTGCATCCCACTAGATCAATGCATCCATCCAGTTATCTGATTCTAGACTTCCATCCTCAACAAAGAATGCCAATCAGCGAAACATGAAAGAAGTAACATAATGAAAGAATTAAAAAAAAAAATGGCTTGCAGTAATTGACCTGTTGCCAAGCTTTAATAGCAAAACCCCTTTTATCTATCCTCCCAATCAAGGCATCACGAAGAAGAGGAGGGAAGTAGCTTAATGTTTTTTTTGACCATGTATGTTGACTTGTTGCCAATATCTGTTCTAACATAGTTTGAAGATAAAGCATGTGATCAGCGTCAGCAATTCCACGTGTTTTTATGATGATGGCAAGAGTGACTATAGTTACACGATTCAAAGTTTCAGTAAATTCAGTGGGGCCCTGCAAAATATTAAACAAATCTTAGATTTTTCAGATACTAACAAAAAAAGAAGGAACACAAGCTACAACAGAAAATCCTCAGTTTAAAAATGATAGTCTTTTACCTTCCCTTCTCTCTTAACTGAGAAAAAATCCCTTTGTGATAAAATGAGGTTCATACACAAGTTTTCAGCCAACCTAAAGACACGGTGATCTCCTCGTTTCCCCTTTAAAGTAGAAACTATTTTCGTAACATCATACATTAAGGTTTTGCTTTTCCCTTGATACCTAAGAAAAAATGTAACGCACAAGTGTGATTTACAGTATTTTTTTTTAAAAAAAAATTCATGGAAGAAAAAAAATCTTGAAATTATTATTTGCATAATCTGAAGGTCCATTAACCCAACCAATAGCTATAAAACTCCAGAATATTATCTACATTAAGCAACCTAACTTCCAAAAAAGACATGGCATAATTTGCTTAATGTAATTTCAATACATTAAGCAAATTATCACCAGTTTGAAGAAAAGGAAAAGGAATAGCTTCACGGGATGGACTTGGATATTACCTGTAAAGTGGAAGCAACCGATAGTTCACAATTTCTAGCACCAAAAGAGTCACCCCAGGCTTACTCAATATTGATTGATACCTCTGTGCCAAATGCTTTACAAAGAAATTATAATGGACATCATCATCACATTAAAATTACATTACCTCACAAAATATACAGGTGAAAAAATGCAAGATGCATCCACGGACATTTAAAGATCATTTGGTCAGCCTTAAGGAATGCACTAGCATTAGTTTAATAGCATGAAAAGCTTTCCATGAAAATGGTTGATGTGTTCATCTAGCCAATTTTTTTAAGCGCTCACAGGCAGTGCACAATCCATCAAAACATGACATGCAAAAGAACAGCTTTCCTTTCCTATATGTAGATCAGTTGACTTGGAATTGTAGCATGCACTGCAAGTACCAGACAAATTTTTAATCTAAGGATCAATTTGGTAAAAGGTTAAAATTGAAGATGAATTGTTATGAAAGTATTTATCACGGGAGAAATCATGAAGGGTATATGAGTGAATAAAAAAGCTATTTTCAAACATGTTTGGTAAAGGTTTAAAAACTCAAGAGCATTAGACATTCCATAAAATGATATTAAAAGGTCCCAACGGCTAGGTATAAGTAAATGAGAGAATCTATGAGTTAAAAATTTTATAAGAAAAAAAAAAGAATAAAATCTATAAGCTCCACCCCATTAAAAGACTTCAAACCATTCCCTTGGAGATGATATTTACACCCACTTTACCCCACTTTTGGGATAAATATTTATCTCAATCCATTTTATTCACCAAACACAAATAAACTTTACCCCTGATATTTTTGAGGGCTCATAACCAAGGCTTCTAGGGAACAGAATATATAAATACACAGTTGTGACCAACAGTGATTTCATGCCAATATCTACACAAGAATCGCCAAACAGGCTTGCATATTATATGATTGCGCTTAAGAGAGATTTTAGTATTTTTCTATGTATGTGAGGGCTCATAACCAAGGCTACCAGGGAACAGAATATATAAATATGCAGTTGTGACCAACAGTGATTTCATGCCAAAATCTACACGAGAATCAATCACCAAACAGGCTTGCATGTTATATGATTGCGCTTAAGAGAGGTTTTAGTATTTTTCTATGCATGTGAATGCATCACTGTGATGAATTTATCTGCAAGAAATGGTGCACTTTCAGAAGCAAGGGTAAAGAGAAATACACTGAAGTGTGACCTAAACAGTGAATGAGGAGCAATGAGCAGCAATCGACAATATGTTTCAACCATTGCAATGCTAGGAACAACCTGCACCAAACATTAGATCACATTAAAAGAAATGTCAAAACTGTCAGACATCTGATAGATAGTCCACAACATCTATATTGCAAAGTAGAAACCATTTAGTCGCAGCTACGGCAAGTCATTTCCAGAAGAGCAAATCACAGGAAGGAAGTTCAAAAAGCCTAGTCTCAATTTATAAACTAGACCCGTTAGATATAATCTTCTTCACAGCACTGTTGTAGCACTTATTTACACTTTGATCACAGAAGCCAATGCAACATACATCCTCAACAATTCTCATTTTGCCAATTGCTGTCATTAATTACAATGTTTCTTTCTGAGTTTTACTTTTGGACAAGAGACCTTTATTTTGAACTACAGCTAAGTTTCCATTTTGAATCCCACGACGCACTTTTTGATACTATGGGCCACCCCACAAGAATCATAAAATAACAACAAGTTATGAAGATGGATGTTAGACAAATAAGGCTGACTAAGAGTGGGTTTCCTGACTAAAGATGTTCCCCTTTCTACCCACCTACCAAGTTACAGATCTTTCAGCCATAGCACAGAAAGCACAGAATGTGAGTTTGACCAACATGCGTTACCAAGGAAGCAACATAGAAAAGAGACTTGGACTGTACATGAATACCTAATAAATCACACCACGAAATTTATCTTCAAGACAAAACTCTTTCATTAAGATATGTAATCAGGACAAATTTTCAAGAACCTTTCCATATCATCAGACAGAAACACAGCATCATCAGCAAAACATGTAGACATCCTCAACCAATTATCATACCATTAACTCTCTATTTTTACCCTCTGCTAATCATTCTACTTAAACCATTGACTTCAAAGGCAAACAAAGAACAAGATAAAAGACATCCCAGGAAAACCACCATTAAAATAAAGATTGAGCTCCACATTAACCAAAGCTGAAACAAATGTAAAACACAATCCCCTCTCAAACACACAAATGTGTAAATGTCAGTTATGCAACTAATAATTACAAAGACCATTTACAGGCTCCCGATGGCAAAAGATAAGGCTTCAGCATTTCTTGGAACTGTGTTATAAACTGATCTTCAACACCTATATAATCTTTTCCCTTGTTTCATCACATCCTTGTTCCAAAACGAAGCTCAAAAACTTAATAACAGGAAACCCATTTTGCTATCTGTATTAATTGTCTGAAGCAGTAAGGATGCTGTTTATGATTTTTATATTTTATGACAACCATCTGGGGATCTGGGAACAAAGCACTATGCCATCTACGCAACAGCATTAGGTGCTACTTTCTGAAATGAGACTGAATGCATCAATCCTTATAATAAAAATTTGTATTAGGTGCTACTTTCTGAAATGAGACTGAATGCATCAATCCTTATAATAAAAACTTGTCATTTTTTTTCTTTTTGCCATGCCTTTGTTCAAAATGAGACCGAATGCTTCAATTTGTATAATAAAAACTTGGTGGTGTCTTTTCTTTTTTGCTATGCCTTTGTTCTTTTGATCTGATTCAAATCTTGCCTGTAATGCTGCAAGAATTGCATTGAATGACAAATGGTTTTTGAACTATGCACCAATTTTGCAAGCATGCATTTAGGGAGCAGATAAAAGTGGATCCTGCTGCCAAGTTGCCAACTTCAACATAAGCAAGCACTAAAAGCATTACCTGCCCAGCAAATAAAGAATCTTCCATTTGAAACACCAACTTCAAACATAGGTTCATGGAAAGTCCAGATAATAGCGACATCGGCAAAGGGCTTACTTCCCTCATCACCATTAACCGCTCATTAGACTGCATGTTTGTTCCAGTTAATAATTCAGAAACTCCAGCGGAGGATAACCAGTTCACCACTGTTTCAGAAGCTGGCTGAGCCATGGTGTAGGATACAACCCAAAACATTCCAACTGATTTGTCATCCATATTCATGTAATCCAACATCCGATCCCCTGAAAAGAAAGGTCAAACAAATTTAAACATGAGTACAAATTTGTTTGATACTTAACAAGTGTCAATCCTCATACTTAGCATTGTTTAGTAAGAAGCACGAGTGTTGAAAAGTATGCATTCCATGAGAAGTATGGCAATGTGAAAAGTGAAAAATCAAGAAAGAACAGGTCCCTTCCCCTCTTTTGAAAACAGCTACTGTCTTTGTTGGGAGAGTATCAACAAAAATAAGTGAGCGCACACATGCATATGTATGTGAAAGCACATGCCCACAAAATGTGCTGAAATTCAAGTAGTTTTCTAAAATCAATATATCCTGATGATAAAAACATGCATTTACCTTAAAATGTAAAGTAGAAAACTGAAAGAAGCAGAAGAGTGCTTCACACTAAAGCATTTTTCTAATACTAACCACCAGCAAGATCCACATTATCAAACCAGTTCGATTCTGCAATTACTACTGGAAGAAATTTACCTGCTCTTTTTTCTGTTTCATATGTGAGACAAATTTACCTTTGCTTGCTTGCCTCCACCACTCATCTATTTGCTTTCCTTTCTGAAGCTGTTCGCTATTTAAACATTCCCTTGTTGATGTGTTCAATGACCAAATACGTAAGTTTTGGCAACTGCTAATATAATCAAGCAGGATGCTTTGAGGATTATTAGGATCAGAGCTTCGATCTTCCCTGTGAAATGATAAAACCTTTCGGGTTGTCTCTACCTGCCAGCAAAATTGCGATGCCCAAGAATGAGTGTGACAAGTTGACCCTAAGATTATGGCTAATATTATGACCAATAAGCATGAACCCCCTATATATCTGCTACAAATTAAGGCCAATAAAATTTCACGAAGGATGAAAGAAGCTAATGTAAATGCATTGGACAAGGAATAAACAACATTGAGATATATTATGACAGTGAGAAAAATGCAAAACTACACCAGGCAGTATAAAGGCAATGAATTTTACGGTAACAACAACCTTTCTAGCATCTGTATTTAATGCATTCATCACAAGCTCAATCTAAATAATTTGTGCAAACAGCCCAGCAACACGATTTGTTCAAACAATGTTCAAATCACCCTCTATTAGCCTTGAAACCAGTTTGTCCACAAAATCAATAAAAGAAACAACATTGAGATATATTATGATGGTGAGAAAGATGCAAAACTACACCAGGCAGTATAAAGGCAATGAATTTTACGGTAATAACAACCTTTCTAGCATCTGTATTTAATGCATTCATCACAAGCTCAATCCGAATAATTTGTGCAAACAGCCAAGTAACATGATTTGTTCGAACAATGTGCTGATCACCCTCTATTAGCCTTGAAACTAGTTTGTCCACAAAATCGATAAAATCTATGCACCCACTTTTCACAAGAAAGTAGAAGATATCAGAGAATACAAGCCACTCCTGCCAACAATTCATTTCTGCAAATGAAAAAAAAATTACAGGAATTATTATCCTACAAAAAGAAGCATTTCAAAATTTGCTATAATCAATTTTAAACCAGACACAGTAAACTTATTAGAAACATAAGCAGCTTCGTGCACTTAAAAGTAGTGGGGCTACCATGACAAACATGTCCACCAAGTTGCTCAACCATGCTTACTGCTTCATATTACTTAAAAATTGTGCTATTAAATTTTCAATTCTGCTGGTGAAAATATGCAATTTAACAGTTGAACAATCCTACCAGACATTCAATGAAGAAAAGATCATGAACAGTAAGTGATCCTTGAGCACATTATATAGGAACAGAAGAAAGTAAAAAAAAAAATTAAAGGAATAAATAATTGCCTGAATTTGTCAACTTCAACAGCTCAACAATTCTATCAATAGTTGCCTCACAAATCATACTAGAAGTGAAAACAGCACCAGGAGTAGGCCCATGAGCTGGATTCCTATAGCAAGAAGCCACAAGAAGCACACGCTTCCACCAGTCAGGTGATGGAGTGGTACGAAGAGCATGTCTTATACAACGCAAAGCTCTTTCCCAGTCCAAACTTCCCCTCTGAATAGAATTTGCAAGATCCTACATGGTTAAAAGGAAACAATTTCACAGGTGGTAGTAGATAGATGCATGTGTTTTTGCGTTTGACAGGCACAAAATTACTCAATTACAAACATAATATTTTAATTAAAAGCATTGCATTTTCAGACATAAGATAAAGAACACCCCTTAAAGAAAGGAGGAGGAAATAACAGCTTCCATGCACTGTACAAGGCTCCAAGTTAGCTGGTTCATCCCAGACATGCATTTGATGATATGACAAAAATGTTTTATTTAAAAATAATCTCACCTTTTAAAAAAAAATACATGCTCGAGTAAAAACATATATACCATGGGGAATACTAGACAGCTTTTAAACCAAGTTTTTAAAGGAGCTAAAGGATGGGGAAAGGATGCACTAGAAGTTTGGAAATGTACTTTAATTCATCAAAAAACAATAGAAGGCATGTAAAAAGTGAATCAAAACCAAATTCATAACTTTGATAACAAAGATATCTTTCCACATAAATAGAGTAAAACTTTTGATAAACTAGAGTGTAATGATAAAACTCATCAGGCAAATTGAAGTCCAACAAAAATATCATGGTATAAGTAACGAACTGCATATAGAATTATCCAATTTTTAACCAGAAGCAATTAAAGAAAGAATGAAAGGTAAATACAGCCCACCTGTGCACGTGTAAATATATAAACATATATGCAGACACAAGCATAAGTGCAAATTGTTAAAAACAGTTGTTAAATTTGCAGCCATTTGACTTTTAAGCAACATTGTATAAAGAACATTCTCCATAAATCAATATTTAAAATATATTTAGAGATAAGAATTATAATGATGATAAATTTGCCATACACGAAACAAATAAAAGATATTTCACCTTACAATGTCAGAATGTTTCTTTCCAGGTGAAGACACAAGAAAAACATGGTTATTTTACTGTCCTGTTAAGGCTGACAAGGTAAAACAGAGAATCCAAGACAAAACACAATCTTCCAATCCTAGATACAGGGATCTCACGGAAGATGCTCTGCGACATATACAATAAAATACTAGCTTCATTTACTTAGAAAGTCTTTCACCGGTTTTTTGCAGTTCTTTCTTTTCTAAAGCACAAGAGAACTACACAAAACAGTGGGTATACTAAAAACGAACTTGTATTTTCTATTTTTATTAGATGTCTTATCTGGTGTACTTCTTGTTCTATGTTTTAGACAATGCAAGCTCCATTAACACACAAACAGGTCACGAGCAAATTTTGTATAAGATCCAGAATCTGTCGTTCAGGAAGTCCACACATGAATCACACCTCCTTCAAAATACTCTAAAAGCATATTGTTAATGATGTAGCAGCTCATCTCTGAAGCATCTTAGCTTGCTGAAGAAGAAATTTTTATACAAGATTATATAAAACCAGATAGAATGCTGGAATTTTCTGAAATGGAGTTTATATCTATGCTAATATTTTTGTATATAATGTCTATTAATATCTTCAAAGTTCAAATTCACCAATATCATAAGTAAAATGAGCAGCCACAATCACCATGTTGGCCTTAACAGCATTTGTCTAGATAATTAATAAAATACCCACAGATACAGAATGTTAGATGGAGGAGTTAGTTTAGGAAACAAAGATAGGTTATACATTATCTCAATCATCTTCATGTGGGTAACAAAGGAAGCAGTAGTCATCTTTCAGGCCTCAACATCATATGTCTAGATAATTAATATTATACCAAAAACAGAATGTTTGATAAAGGGTTTTTTGAAACAAAGATAGCACATATATTGTCCCAGTCTTTCCATATGTAATTCCATTTGATGTCTTCACAGTTCAACTTCACCAATAGTAGTGAACATGGGGAACAAAATCAGCAGTAATCATTATTTATGACTCAAAAGTGACCTGAATGCATAATTACTTTTATCCCATATTCTCATTGTGGCACACCACAGCATCAATATTATAACTATGGCCATTCCTTGTTTCCAAAAGTATTCATTTATGAATCTTCAATCCATCATATCCTCACCTATCGACCCCTCTACTTCCATAATCTCTTTTCAAGTGCTTTTAATTTAATCCAAATATAAAGAAATGAATAAGAAAATGGTGACCATCACTGTCTGTATATCCTCAACTGATTACACTAATTAGTGTCAGCATCCATTACAATAAGCATGGAATAGGTGCAATAAGACAATACAGGTCTCTGGAGATCAAAATTAAATTCATTTTCACAAGGAAAATGCTACGCATACAATGAATCATACTAAAACTCCAAACAAACAGATGTGGAAACTGATAAGCAGTGAATTGTGGGTCTCAAAACTATCAAATGATTGATAGAGGATAAAAAGGGAAATAACAACACCTGTTTGTATGAAACTTTTGAACGGTTTGTTTTTATATATAGCATTGCTTTCACAACTGCAAAATGTCACTGCTTCTAAATCATGATGGGAACATGCATATCTACCATGTATTGGTTCAATGAACGAAAAGAAAATGAGAACCTCTTTATGATTAGTCCAACAGGAAAGCATCTATAATGCACTTCGTTGAAACTTGAACTAATTTTGGATTATGAATAATTTGAAGAAATTCTATAAGGCATGAAAAAAATGGTTCTTGTTATCCAATTAAAAATGCATTATTGCAAACAGTAGTAATGATATACGCCTGCACAACCAGCAGACTACCATTGCTGGTGGCTGTATTCGGAAGGCCCCGTGATAACAGGTCCTGCCATCAAAAGGATGATATTCAAGGATATCATAAACCAGAACCATACTATTTCACTAGAATGAGGTATAATTTTTCGAAGTTCCAGAGTGAGTTCTTAGAAAAATACATCACCTCTCCATGCAAAGGTTCTCCAAGCACACTTGGATATGTGATTGGTGAATAGCGCAAGTTAGCCACAGCTTCAACTGAAACAGTAGGAATTGTAGGAGACAAAACCCGATGGGTACCAAATGTGGGGCAGTGAAGGTGTTGATCCAACATTTGCATGTGCATAGCCATCATATCTCGCCTCCTATGAATCTCCAAGATAAGTGTAAATAAGGCCTCGTCATCAGGAATGTTCTCTATAAACTGCAAGCCGCTGCGCAATAATTCATAGAAGGGCACTCGGCATTTATCCTCATCCACCAGCAGCCAGATCACATCCAAACAACTATGCAGCCATTCAATCAGAGCCTTGACAGGTCTCCAGGATTTCACACCATCAGATTCATCGACACCATGTTGTCTTTGATCCCAATTAACCAGCCAGCTCAACATATGGTTGAAAATATCAGCATGAGTCACTGGCTTCAAATTAAACTCAAGTCCAGTTAAAATAATCTTGCAACATAGCTGGCGAAGACTGCTCATGGCACTGTCCCTTATCAATAAATTGACCCTTGCTGAAGATTGTGGCCCATTACCAGAAATATCAGATGATTTAACCGGAGACATAGCTACAGAAGGTGAAGCTTCCATCCCCATTGGGGCTGGAGAGCCAATGCCATGAACAGAAGATAGTGGGGATGTAGGATTCAAAGACTGAAAAATTGACGAATTGGAGATTGTACTTGAAGAAGGAAGCATCCCATTCTGTGCTAAACCAGAGGACGAAACAGCTGGCACTGCTTGACCTGCCTGGCTGGCTGACAATTCGGTGGTAGATACTGAAGAAAGAAGACTCGGCAAGAAACTATCCCAGTTAATGTACTCTATGCTACATAAACTCCGTAGGGCAAATAGAAGAAAATCCGCCCGCGGGGCGTGATTACTACATTGCACAACCAGAGTTATAAGTACAGATTCTGTAACAGCACGCAATTGCTCTTGATCCTGAAGTGTACGAACATACACACGTCACATTATCAAAACACGATATTTTTTTACCATTTAAAAACGAGTACACCAAAAAAAAAAAAGAAGTAACTCGATGTTAAAGCACGAATACTTACCGGAAACTGGGTATGAAGTTGCTCGAAATCTAAGAGAAATTGCTCATTCGGAGGAGGAAGCTCTCTGTTGAGAGCAAGAACACGCTTTTGGGTCTTGTTCCTGAAAAAAAAAGTCAGATTTTTTTTAAAAATATAATAATAATAATAATAAGAAGAAGAAGAGAATAAGCCTCGAAGGAAAAGCGAATTTAAAACTCACGGCAGTTCGCGAGCTGAATCATCGGGTTTTTGGCGGCTGCTTCGCTGCGAAAAGGAAATCAAGAAGCATTAATGACTAATCTTTTCTCTTTTTTGGAGGTGCTTGATAAAATTGAGAATAAGAATGAAAACGATGATTTACGCCTAAGTAGAGGTTGAAGAGATCGATAATGGCAGCTCGAGCTGGGTGGAATTGGTGACCACGTGAGGAGGCTGAGGCCGAGGCTGCTGCTGTTGTTATTGATCTCTGGCTTTGTTCCATTTTATTTTCACTTCATTTCATGTTTTGTCGGAGGAAAGGTTCGAGTACTGAGGAGTAGCGAGAAGAAAGAGCACTGACCGAGTCGCTGTGAGTTCCTGGCACAATAGTATAGTGTAGCGGAAAGGAAAGGGAAAATTTGACGAAGGCGAGTGTGGGTGCTGCGAGAAGCCTTCTAGGCCCATTAGCGGGGATTGAATTTGGGTCGGGGGTCCGGACCCATTTGGAAAATTCACTTAAAGGAGAGAACCCGTTTTTCAGCTAAAATGGTAATATAATTTCGACTCTACCAACAAATTCTTTTTTGCCATTTTTGTTCTTGGCTTCTAGCGATGTTTTTTATTTTATTACACCATTTTGAGATAATTTACAAATAAATGAATTTCTCCATGACAAAGCAAGGGAAGGGTAACCCTACACGTCGATGGTTGTATATATTTTTAGAAACAGGGTTAAGCATCCATTGATTCAAGTTTTTCTTCGTGGTAATTTAATAAATAACACTTCCGTTTTAAAAGAAATTATTTTTAAAGAAATTAAAATGAAAAGATTGTATTTTTTTTTAAAATGCAATATTTTTTTCATTTGGATAGTAGAAGAAATCTTTTGATTTTTTTCTACAATTTTCTTTCAAAACTTTTTCACTTTTTTCAAATGAAAAATAAACTAAAATGATAGATTATAATAAATCATTTTTTCATCTACGAGCACATTTGCAATGTAAAATATCAAAAAAAAAAATTACATATATTTTTATATCTGGATAATATTATAAATTCATTGTTTTTGGTAAAATATCTAATATGTTTTTTTTACTTGATAAGTAGAAACTTTCAATGAGAATTTTTAATTTAAAATAAAATAAAATATTGTTTTATGGTTGGATTGTAATAAATAAAAAAATAAAATAAGATGACAATTATAGATTATGGTTTCAATTTTTGTGGAAATATAGCTATGTTTTTTTGGATAAAATAAGATGACAATTGTGTAAGATAAAATAAAATAAATCTTACAATTTCTCATTTTTTGGATAGAAAAGTTCTTCTATGTTTTTTTCAAAATGAACATGTTTTTTTAATTTTAGATAAAAAATTAAAAACTAAAACCAAGAATAGCTACAAATGAAGATCAAAAATGATTTTTTTATTATTATTAAACAGGTCTTGAAACTCTCGACAAACGAAGAAAAAATATCATTTTGCATGGTGTTTTGTTGAATTGCCCATTATCATCTTGAATGACAGATCTCTTTTCACATACATTTGAACAGTTTTTTTTTACATAGAAAAGGTAAGTGTTCAGTTTTTAAAACTATAATAGTTAATTTTTTTAAAAATAATTTTTATTTAAAAATATAATAAAATAATCGTTTTACATAACAATACTAGTTACTTTTTATGAAGTATTAAGAAAAACCGTGTTCCGTTTAAAAATATTTTTTTTACTTTTGTAAATTATTTTACGTTATCACAAGACACTTGTTCGATCTAAAAGGTGTGTTCCAAAAAAACAAAATCAAACACTAAAAGTGAGGTCTTTCATGGGGATTAGAAATCAACAGGAAAATCAAGTTAAAGAACAAGGTTTTTGCGCGTGACCGGAAACACATCAGATGCCATTAAAGAATTTAAATCTCGCCGGGAACTTCATCGAGATATTTAAGAGGGCTAGTTTTTTTTTTTTTAATCGTGAACAAAACTTGACTCGCTGCTTCTTGTTCAACGAGATGACTCCAGAGGGAGCTTCAGTCACATTTTTCTCCATGGTTTAGGGTCGATTTCGTCGAGAAATTAAGATTTCTTTTGCATTTTTTTTCCGGTTTCCTTGGACATTCAAAAATTTACAAGTTAAAATTTAAGATCAAAGTTAAAATTATCTAAGGTGAATGGCTAGAAAAAAGAAATTGCAGGGTCGGGCCCTGCCAACCCCCCTGCCTCTGCCTTGAGATTCACTCAAGTTTCATGTTTTTAGTTTCTTTTCAGATGCGTTTTCCCAGTCCCTGAATTCTAAACGATGAAACGTGTACAGCTATACACTGGCAAAGTTGGGCGATCGCTATCTCATTCCAGGACAAGAGGAGTAACACAGAGAAGGGAGCTTCTTCTTTCTGGAACTCAGCTCGTCGCAGTCTGGCTTTGATTGTTTTTTAAATAATTTTTTATATTAAAATATATAGTAATAATAAAATATTAAAAATATATTAATTTAAAATTAATAAAAAAAATTTAAATTTTTTTTTAAAAATATTTTTAAAAATATAAAAACAAATATGCATTTTCCACACTGGAACTCCCCTCGAAGGCCGTGAGGTGACCCCCTTCTGCCCCCGCATTAAAAAGCCTGCAGATACACCTCTTCAAATCACATATCTAATTTATTTTTAAACAAAGTTTTGTCCTCTGTGATATCCTCCCTGCCTACCTTGGTACTTCACTCAGATCCTTTATTTAAAAAATTATTTTATTATATTTATAACTAAAGCCAATTATTTTTCGTAGCGCTCAACGTGCATGTTGAACATATCGCCTTCCAAGGTAACTTTAGTTCTTTTAACGGATAATAAAAATACCGATATTTTTAAGTACAAAGTGTGACGGTATATATTTATTTTCAGAAAAGTTTGGAAATATAGTACAAACTGAGTTTTTTAAAAATTTAAAAATTTAATTTAATTTTTTTATATTTTATATTTTTAATATATTTTTAAATAAAAAATACTTCAAACTATTATTATTACTACATCCTCAAACACATGATATAAAAAACTCGATCGCAGCCTGGAATCATTGCATTTGATGAAACGGCTTTCCAATCTCTATGGTTTTGAAAGCATGAACGTTAAATATTAAACAAAACTTCAAGAAATAATAAATAATGGACTATGATCTTAACATACAGTATCCAATAATAGATGTTATACAGTCTAATATCTTTTGTGTATTTTTTAAAAAAATTTTCCTTTAATGTATAGCATCACTTTCTTAGAAGGATAAAATGATCTATAGAATTCATATCAATTTTACATGTAAAATAATATATCAATCTCTAAATTGCAAAGCACGTTTTAATTTATTAAATGATGTAAACGCTGCTATGTGAGCGTGGAGGAATTTTTTATGAAAATACTACCAAAAACTAAAAATCAGGTGAATTAACCAATTATTTTCTCATGAATCATTATTATATAACAATACTATATATTTTATATTTTAGACCGACCTCTATAATTTATCCTGATTTTTTATAATATTATATATTTCTCATATTAAGAGTTTGAAGATTGATGTGGTTTTTTTTATATTTTCTAATGATTTTTTTATTTAATTTTAAAATTAAAAATTAAATTTTATATTTTATTCTTTATAAAGCAATCTTAATTTCATCATCATGACTATGAATTAACAAGTTAATTTATTTTTTTTAAAAATATTTTTTAATCACATCAACCAACATTAATTTAATTAAAAATTAAATTTTATAATTTATTTTGATTTATTTGTAACAAATTTATCCCGATTTTAAAATTTTAATATTAAAAAAAATATTATTTTAATTAAATTATATTCTTATTAATTATTAAAATCATACTTAGATTCGCTAACTTAACAAGTTCATATCAAATTAATTAATCCCCACGTAGTTTTTTTTTTTACTAGAGAACATACTACTTATATTTGATTTTTTTATATTAAAAAAATCGAACTCACATGCAACCCGCTCGTATGCTGCGGGTCATGATCTTGTTTCTTTCTACAACGTAGCTGTTGCGAAGAGTATTTACACGAAGAAATAAAAAAATCCTGCCCCCCCGCTCTGTCTCTTTACTATACAACTAAGCTAAACTAAACTAAACCCGTCCCTTTTTTAAAAAAAAAACGCTTCCCACAGTAGAGAGAGACCCCGAAAGGAGCAAACTTTTTTCTCTCTGCTTTCTCTCTTCCGACTCTTTCTCGTTCTCTTCTAATGTGTTTGGGTTGGTCTTATAATAGATTTCCTTTCCGAGTTTTATGGTCTTTTCAAGATATAAAAGATTTAATTTGTAGCTGAAGTTTCAATGGCTGTGCTGTTCCTGCTTTTCTTGCTGACAGTGTCTGTTGTTTCTGCTGATGAAGGTAATAAGCTTCTTTCTTTGTGCTTTCATGGTTTTATTGCTTTTTCTTAAATTGAGTCTCTAATTGTTGGTTTGTTCTGGTTTTGTACTTGTATCTTATTACTAGCTGCAGCTGAGTGCTCTTAGCTAGCTTATTTTATTTCATTTCACTCTTGAATCAATGATTTGCAGGCATTAGTTGCCATTCTATTCTACCATTTTGCTTTTGCCTTTTCTCTCCGTTCACCTCGAGTTCCTTTTTCATTTCAAGTTGTCTGCTTTTGTGTAGCTCTGTAGTTATATTCGTGTGTGCCTCTTTGCTGGGTATTCCTCTGTTTTGCTTCTCCCTTTTCTTATTAAATTTTTGCAATATTTCATTTATCTCTACCAGAGCATAAGCCTCTGCATAATAATCTCTCCCTTCGCTGAAAACCTCTAATCTCTTCTCCACCCTCTCTTTTAATGGGGAATCTCAACCATATTGCTTCCCAGCTCATGTGGCAGTCCTTTTACCAGAAGATGCTGTCATATATTTCTAATAAATACGGTGTAGGACCAAAATACCATTAGCTCGAGGATGCAAAAGCATTTGGTTTGAATGGATTGGAATCCTAGAAATCTTCTTCCAAGGCTATCATTGTCATTTCGCTACTAGTACCGCAACCAGTCGCATACATATGTTCTACTACAGCATCGTATACCTCCCCCCAAGTGGATATAATATGCAAAAACCATTACCTTTCTCTGCTATTCTATTAATCCCCAGAGCTCTTTTTAAAATTATAGAAGTCATCCTCGTCGCAGATCTGATTGTCATGGTATTCAGGAATAAACCTGCCTATTATCGTGTATTCCATATGAATATATAGAGATTTGATATTTGGAAATTTTCGAAGTTGATGATGGTCTACTACGGACAAGGCTTAAACCCATGTTCAAAGTTAGGTGGCAGTGCTACATAAATTGTGCGATGGGTTATTTATTTACTGGACACCATAACACTACTTTATATTATTTATAGTTTAAATGTA